GGTTCTGAGTTAAATGTTTCGACTTAAGACACGGTTTTCAGGAACCAATTGTGTTGTAAGTCCCAGGACTGCCTGTACTTTGTTAACGTTGATTATAACCAAGGCAGCTGATCTATGAATAGGTATGATTTATTGGAAATAAATGCAAAGAATGGCTGTTTACTAACAGAAAGACAAAATAAACACACAGTTTCCCTATTTCTGGTAACCACAGCAAAAATAAACAAATTCCAGCAGCAAATAAATGTAAGATAGATCAGTCCATCTCCTAATCAGAATGTGGGCAAAAGGTTGCATTTCATATTAGCAGTTGTGTGCCATGAAGATGCATTAAATTTGACCAAAGAACATGTAACTAGGGTCAGAGCCTAGTCATCTTAGCCATGCAAGAGATCATGTTGAAACGAACATGAATATTCACGTGAATATGCAGAGTAGGAATCAGGCTCTACTCTTTGTCCTGTATGAATTATCCATCACATTAGTATTGTACATTACTGAAGTGACTTGCCTTCTCCTCCCAACCCCCACATCTGTGCTGCTATAATTTACGTGAATTGCAGTTAATGATCACTTGTGTTATGCTTAATCAGCATATCAATAATATCCTCTGCAAAGACTAAGTAGTTCTTCTTTTTTTTCCTTTTAATGAAACCTATAGAAATGGAACTGGTATTTGACTGACTGACAGCACAAAAGGTTGCATATGCAGGTGCTAGCGATGGTACTAAGGAATAGGGGTTTTGTGGCTGCTGCCAATCATGTTCAAGGATAAGCAAATCCAACTATTACATTTCTAATTCAGTTGCTTTGCTTTCTGGAGGGGCTGATGCTTTGTCTTTAACTGTTTTTAATGAGATTGACCAGCTTAGTGTTACTGATGCCAAAATTGTGGATGTGTGGGATGGTTCAAGGAGTGATCACATTTTTACAGGGTGATATTATCAACCAGGGGCTAAAACACTGCCATCAGAGAATTATTATGTGGGACACAGAAATGTCTGAATACCAATGAGCTATAAATCTTAACATGAATATTCAGGAATTTCTGAAAGCTGCTATTATATATCCCCAAGTCAAATCAGATTTTTAGAATGAGACGTATTAGAGAATACTGAGCATGACAACCGAGGCCTGTCATTTTTTTTAGAATCAACTGTCAACAGCTCAGCTAGCATGATTAACCTAGAAAAAGTTTTAGACATTGTTTAATAAATCACTAGAAGATTTCATTTAATTTTAATTTTATTTTATTTAAATGTATATTTTATTAGTCATCCTCCTCAGCATACTGGCATTTGCAGCTTCTGAGAATACTGCTGGATCTTGGAAAAGAGTTGGCACAATACCAACAGTCTCATTTGTGAATCACAGCCTCAAGTGTAGCTCTATTAGCTTTACCTTGTAAATCACCAATGCGCTATTAGCAATGTTTCAATATGATGTGACATCTTTATTATAATGTTTTCCACTGAAGTTTAAGTTAATAATTTTAGTTAGCTTGAAGACAGATGCAGCCGTATTTACAGGTTTTAATTAATATAGTATAAATAAAGTGCTATGTAAAGGGTGTTTCTCTTTTCCACGGTTATTTGACTTCTCTTTTCAATCACTTTTATGGTACAATGCATGCTAAATAGGAAAAAAGGTGGTTGGTCTAATTAAAAGATATGACATCTACCCAAAGAACCTTGCCTGCCTATGCCCTTAGACCAACACCGCTACAACCAAAACCCCATGCTAAATAGGATACTTTTTACTTCTTCTCTTGTTTTCTATTGATGTTTCAATTTTTATAGCAAAACTTCAGTGCACTAAGGAAAATAGTTTCAGATCTGGTTCTCTTACACACACAAAGAAACAAGACATAAATGAATTTACTGCCTTGTGACTTCAGCCTAAGGATTTTATTATCTTGCAAGCACATCAGTACAATTCAATGATTTACCTCAGCTTTATTCCCCATGGATATTACGATAGGAAGGAACAGCACACAGAAGAAAAGCTTGGGCAGACTTACCAAAACCAATACTGACTTGCAAAAACTAATAAAAATGCTCTGAGAGATCTGGGGGTGCTTTTATAGTGGAAGGGAACCTAGCAAGTTTGTTTTTCTTGCAGCCCCCAGCATGTCCTATATCATTCCCCTGCCAGCTGCTTTGCCTCTTGCTGCTTTAGGTATCTGAGACAGGAGGGATACAGCTGCAGGAAGATCAGAGCAGCATAGGAGACCAAGTGACTGCCAAAAGAACAAAAAGTGCCTTTGTAAAACAAAACACAAAATAGACAGCTAAAAACTGATGAGCTAGGAAATTTCTGGGGAATCCCTTTCTGGGTACCCAACTCAACAAGGTTTCTCACTGGAAAGTCTATGGAAACAGCCATGGGATATACGGATTCTAACATCCAACTTCCTACTTATTTTCCATGAGACTTGGAACCATTTTTTTAAGGCTTTTTCTGAAGAGACAAAAGATAGATGCTCTCTGTATAAACATTGTAAAATATATTAATACTGTAACAGAAGTGAATAGTTTCAAAACATTTGTTACTTAAAAGCAGGCTCTAGCCATTATTTACTAACTGAATCTTGTGAGAGAGAGAGATACCCATGCTGTAAGCAATGTACAGAGAAAGACTAAGAGCAGACAAGTTAGTAGTCTTGAAGATACAGAAGGGGTCACACTAACTCTCACAACTAGAGCTCTAAAATTCACAATTTCCAAGCCTACAATAAGACCAGGAGCCAGCTTGTCACAAGGAAATCAGTGCACACAACCAGAGCCAGCAATTTTTTCAACAAGTGCATCTACACGTTTAGGAACCTAAATATAATGACTACGTTTTCACTTATCCAAGCCATCCCATGAGGAACTCACTATATTGAGTAGGTAAAAATGTAATACTTTAGATGAACATTAAACATATGATTTAAAAAAAAACAACACCCCTTGTCATTACTATTTTGAAACCTAACTATTCTCTGCAGGCACAGTTTTGTTTCACAGATGTACAATGTCATAACTCAATATCCTTCAAGCAAATTCTGGATGGGGAAAAGTGCAGAAATCGCACAAAAATTATGATTCATGAGGACTTACTGCAAGACGGGAAAGATTTTCTGAAGAGTTTAGCCTCCAAGAACAGGTCCTATTTAGGTGCCTAACTACCTGGTTGGTGGCCAGAATCTTTTCATGAGCACTCAGTGCCTGGCAACTCCAATAGAGAAGGTTGAGTCATGACAGAGTACATCCATAAAACAAAACAGACATAGAAGTTGACAAATGATCGATTTTAGTATGATTATTTTAAAATGTTTTTAATTACGTGCTAGACCACTGAAATCTGAGATTGCACATGCTAACACCTTCTGACCTGCTCGATACCATGCTAACCATTTTCAGTCATCCTACACCCACATAAATACCAGAGCCCTGACTCAAATCATGCTACCAACCATTCCAGAAAAAATGATGAATCGTAGTGAATGTGATAATCTAGAAGATTTGGCATTCCATCAATTGCAAGCTGTGGTAGGAAGAAAACCAGACAAAAGTTGAGTGAACCATCAGCATGTATGATATGAAGCAGCCACAATAAGGAGGAGGTAAAATTACCTTAGATTTTGTGATCTTATTTCTCAGTGAGCTAATGCAAAATTGCACTTAAGCAATTTAGACCTAATTTTCCTCAAGACTATGATCTGGAAGGAAAAGAAAAGCCAAGAACTCTATTCTGAATTTTAAAAAATGATATTGCTGAACTTACTGTGAGATGGACAAAGGCCTCAGATACATGAACGCAGCTCAAAATGAAAATAGGATTAATCTCTATCTCCATCAAATTCAAGCACTGAAATTCTCTCCCAAACTATCATTGTATTCAAACAGCAGTCACAAAAGAAAAAAAAAGTTGTTTTGGCCACCGTTTTCCTGCCCGATCTTCAATGGAAAGTAGCTGGGGCCAAAGATGGAAAGGAATCTTTTAGTATGGCCTGCAAGAGAATGGCCAGGGGTAATGGGATCAAATGGAGACAGGAGAGGAGAAAACATTTAACAGAGGATGGAAGCAAACTTTCCTACTGGTAGATATATTAAGCTTTGGAATTCTTTCCCAATGGGAGGCAGAGAAAATATTCCTGCTTTTTAACTGTGACCATACAAGAAACTAGATAAAAAATGTACTGGTGGGAACAATTCTGCATCGTCAAATAGCAGAAGTGGAGTACTGCTTTAGCCTAACCAGTACTTATCAAATATGCCATTTCTCCATCTGTAATTGTTATAGCAGATAGAAAAGAGATAAATAGCTGTTTCACCAAAAAAAAAAGTATTTCATATGGTCATATTACACACACATCTCTTGCTCGTAAGATAAGTTACCTTTTTAATAAGTTTAAACACTAAAAGCACAGAATTCTGGAACTAGATTCTTTCACAGACCCAAATAAGAAAGTCAGTTTTATTTCCTGCAGATAAAAGTTGCAAACATACCAAGAAAAAAAATCCATAACAAAATTAACCAGACATTTTCCTTTCCGAATGAAGTGGTCACTAACAACAGATCACCAGAAAGGCACAAAATAGATATTTTAACATCTGTTGAAAACCCTTTACACATTGTCTTATTACTTTCATCTGAGTGAATCATAAAATAATGTTAGAGCGTGATTCTACCCTATGTTGCAGAAACATACACATAGTTGAAAAGCTGGGAAGGATCTTTGCAGATAATTTGCATAAAATGGGAAGTCCCTCCCCTTTCATTCTTTCTAATCAGGATGATCTCACTAGGGGATTACATGCAGCATGGTCAATTTTCTAATGAAAAGGTACCATAGTAATATAGCACAAACCATAAATTTCAACTTTAGAATAGACTGTTTTTGATGCTCCAAAGATCCACAGCTATTGCACAGTATTCTCTGAAGAGGAAACAATGGTTAAATAGCACATTGATCTGTAGCAGCACTTTCCCATTTCACAGTCTAGTGAACTCACCCCATGTGATGGGTAGGAGATCCAGCCCAGCTCCCCTTGAATTGCTTTTGAATCCAGCAGATTAACTACAAAAAGAAGACAAAACAAAGAGGAATGAGTTTAATTTGCCTTTGTCCAGTTAACCTTAGTTATCCCCTAACTCAAAGATTTGTGTTTATTTGGGGTATTTGCAAAACAGTCAATTTGTTCAGGTGGTCTGGAATTTTGCTACAAAAAACAGACAAATGAAAAAGGATCAACATGTTTATATTAAAAAGTCAAAAGTACAGAGGAGCTAAAACTTTTAGAAACAACACTATTGGCAAAAATAAGCAATGGATCTATGTTCAAATTAATTACATCAGGGGGTGGCGATGAAGCACTTCCATCATCTGCACAAACTGCCCTGTTCTTCCCTCAGATGCCTGAAATTTAGGTCATTTAATTTAACCAGATAGGTGGATACTTAAAATCATTAATGGATTAAATGCTTTGCACATACCACTTTTAATACAAAAATAAAGAATGTCGACTGAAGCCTTAATCCTTTCTACTTTCTGATCTAATTTATTCCCTAATTCACCCTGGACTCATGGGGTATTTCCTAAATTGCCTTAGGTAAAACATTTAATAAACAGATGCTTTAACTTCAAGAAAAAACACCTCTTAAACATTCTGCTGCTGCAAGGCTAACCTCAACAGTCTTCCATTTTTAAAAATGATCTATTATCAGAGTGTAGATTTATTTGGAAACAGTTTGAAATTTTAATTCTCTACTCAATTAATTGACAGTTTTGTTAAAGTCTTATTTTAAAGAAGACAGGTTTGAATAAAAACCATATTTCTGACGCTGCTTTTTACAAACACAAAAATAATTTCATTAACTCATCATGAACCATTTAGATTCTAAAAGCAACTGATCCATAAAATGCCCATTTATTATCATAAGCCAGAAAAAGTGAATCAGTATACACTAACAACCACAAGGAACGTATATGAGTACAAGTTAATAAGAAATCATTAAGAGACAACACAACAGCCTTGATTTCCATCAATACATAGATCCAAGCACCTCCAATATTTGCATCTTATAATTTCTTTTAACTATGGAAATTACTGATAATGAAAAAAGCCAGAAATCACATTTCACATATGAGGACATTTTAACATCTCAATATGATGGATCTACCAGAAATAAGTGCAACAATCTAGGCATTTCTGTCAAGGGTTCTTCTGTTTGTAAGCCTGAAGGGTTGTCACTGTTCCGAGGACCAGATGGTGTGAATATTGGTGCTCAGAGAAAAGAAAAGAATGGGACTAGGAAGAAAAAGCATGTAAAATTGTCCATAAATCTGTTAAGTAGTGTGCCATTTGTATTAATTTTGGCATCCTCCTTGACTTGCTATTTAGTTTTTGCCATCGTTAGGAAAATAAAGCTATTAAGCTCCCCCTTCCCCCCTTCTTTTTTTTTTAAATCGGAGCGGGGAGGTGAGGGGGTGGCGAAAGGCAGACACACAAAATCAGAGAGAGAGAACAGAGAATGCATCGTGATAAAAAGAAAAATAAATATATTTTCACATTTGTCTTATTTCACAATGAATGACTTATTCTCCAGTCTGCGGAATGAAAAACACTTCTCCCTTAAAGTTATGCCCCCACTTTATAAAAAATGGGACTATGAATTATTTCTTTTTTTTTCCCTAAACCAGGGAGTTGTAATGGTGAGTGCAACACTGAGAAGAAAATTGCTATTAATATCCCTAATGTAGAGCAAGGTGGTACCTTAGAGACTGGTTCAGAGGGGCATGAGTTTTCATAGGCAACAACCTACTTTCTCAGATGTGGCTGTTGCCTAGGAAAGCACATTCAGAATCCCTTTCGTATGTCTGATGAAGTAGACTGCTGTCTACGAAACCTCATGCCTCCAAACCTGTTGGTCTCTAAGGTTCCAGCCACCCTGCCCCATCTTTTGCCTGATTTCAGACTAACTTGCTAACCGCCTCTCTGATATCACAAACATATCATAGTTTAGTCAAAGTGCTGAATCCAGTATAGCTGGGATGAAACTGTGTAACAGTAAACCCAGGGCGTGTTAAGGCTTTAAGTGGGTTCACAGAGCCTTGGACAAGAAACTTTGGAGTGAGTTTTGTCAAGTGAAACATCACATTTCCACAATTCAATGGCAATTGGCAAAAGTGTTCTCATTTCTCAACTCCCACGAAGAGGATAGTAAATCCTCTGGGCTCTAAAACATTTGGAGTTAAGGTTCCTTCAATGCTTGCTACTGGACCTATTCTCTTTTCGGTACGATATTTAACTAATCACTGAAAGTTATGCTTTCTACCCTACTGGTCAGAAACTTCCTTACAGATATGTAGTATCCCCTTCTTTGATACCCACTGTGTGAACATACCCAGGGTCCTGATGTGGCCCAGTACCTTTACATAAATAAATATAGGCCGTTCTCTTGCAGTTTCCTCTCACCATTAGGTGTATAGCATACCAGTGTTCATATGTAACAATATTCACAAGTTACAATGCCAATCAGAAGGAACAAAAAAAGTTACAGAACAGCAGCAACCCTGTAATTTAGGCTTAAAAATAGCAACCAAATCAGCTAATGGCAAAGGCAGAAAAATTCCTCTTAACAGAAGAGAGGTGCTGAAAAATCACAGTAACAACCTGGTTCTGATCCAAAGCAGTCCCTTTCATAGCACAAAGACTGAATGCAAGATCGTAGTCTAACCTACAATTTTCTTAGTTCTCCTCTCTGATCATTTTGTATGCATCTTTTATATGTTTCACTAGCATTTGGAAATACTTATTTACTCATAAATTCAGGAAGGTGGGAGATGTTCTCTAGGATAATTTTGTGATGAACTGATTCATCAGGTAGCCATCTACTGTTCAGTCTTATACTTTTCCCATCAATTTTCATTGATGCCAAAAGGGAAAGAGACTAACAGGCCAAGTGCTCCTCTGGTCGAATAAGATCAGAAGCCTCATGTTCTTCTACTTACAATAAGACCTTCATTGACACCAGTTTTTTATTCTGCCTTTCTGTCAAATAGTGAGAGATAGGTCAAGACATATTTGTCTGTATGACAAAATGCAATGCTGTAAAGAGATACATCAGCTAACTCTGAACAAAACCTTCCAGCAGATCTGAATAACTAAGGCAAAGTGCTGCCACCTTGTTTTATACTGGTCCGGTTCCTGACCTAACCCAGATACCTCTGCACAACACTGTACATACTCATATATGAGAGAGCACTAGTAGAAAATGCTCAAAGGAAACACTGCTCACAGACATTGACAATCTTTGTAAAGACATCTTATCCTTTGTTCAGGACCTTCCTCCATGGTCTAATGGGATTCGTTTTAGAAGCCAGCATATTTTAGACTGATTTCCATTGTGCATTTAATTGTGATGTTCAAAAGTTCAGGTTCACAAGAATCTAACTCAAAATTGAAAACAGCATCTTTTTTTACTTAAAAAAAAAAGTTTAAAGGGTGGGTTTTTTATCTCCTCCTTCCAGAAAAAGTGCCGCTTTTTTAACAGTTTGTTGCTGTTGTTCGTACGTTGCTCATTGGAAAAAGGCTCATGAGATATACAAGTAATTTTTTCCTTGGGTTTAGCAGAGGGAAAACCACACAGTATCCTCTCAGGTACCTCAATACATAGCAAACAGTACAACTAGGCTTCATTAGGCTGTGACAGTCACAGTGTGGAGCACAAAACATGGAAGAAAAGATTGATAAAACTGGATGTTGTGTGTCTCATGATCTATCATGTTAAACATCTGGAGTAAAAAGAAAAAAAAACCCAATCCCTTACATCAAATGAAATGATAAAGATTGAAATAAAAACTGTGGATTAGATATTTGTGGCCTAAATCTTTTTGTAAGCATTAGAAATAATAAATAAGTAACGGTAGATTATAAAATCTACTGTCCCATATAACAAAATAACTCCAAAGGATTTCATGAGCTGTGATGCATATACTGGAACGTATTAAGAGCCAATGCATTTGGTGATGGGTGGATCCAGGATTGCAGTGATGGGGTTATGGCCACACTCTCTTTGCAGGCTGGGAACAGGGGAAGGGAAGAGAGCTCTTTGCACAAGTGCCACACAGTTGAAGAAGATGTGACCTCAACCCCTTGCTGTGATCTTGGATGCCAGTGAGTTCCACATGTGCTGTGAGCTCTGAGCTCACCAACACAGGGTCTGCCCAGAGTTCCTGTTTTCAAGCAACACTGGAGCCTGCTGCTAGCCACTTTCTCTACCTTTCTCACCTCCCCTTGCTAAAATCAGAGCAGGGAAAGGGGGAGAGAGGATGAGCAATGGTAGCATAGAGCCTCCAGAATTGAGTGAAAGCAGAGGCTTCACACCACTGGCCACTCTCCCCCTCCTTTCCCTTGCTGTTGAGGGGAAGAGAGGTGGAAAGAGTGAAGAGCAGCAGGCTCCAGTGATGCTTGAAAGCAGTGACTTGGGCACACCTCCAGTGATTTAAGCAGTCACAACTAATCTCTAGGCATAGCCTGATTTTCAGAGGTGTTGAGGACTAACAAGTCTCACTGATTTCAGTGAGATCAAGTCATTTGACCTTCACTCCCATATCCTAAGGCTTAACATAGGCAATGGAATCACAACTTCAGGGCTCCCTCTATTCCTGACACTGACCCACCATATAGGATCTCAGTGGGCTCACCATTGGCACCCTATTCCTTAGTCTTCTCCTTTAGACGAATGGCTGGATTATTATTTACCCACTTCACAAGACTTTATATTTCGATTTACTCATGTTCTTATGTAAGTAGAAGGTTCCAGTAAAACTACACAGTCAACCCTGATACAACCAAAGGCATAACACCATAAACTTTTTCGTGTTCCTCAGAAGCATTGGGTGTTGGCTGCAGCCACGGCTAGGGATTTTGACTGGAATGTGCCAGTGCTCCCCCTGGCACTGAAACCCAGAGATTTTTTGACAGAGAATTTTTTACCCCCACCCCCTCCCCTATCAGGTCAGACTGATCACTGTATTTGGGGTCAGGAAGGAATTTTACCCCATGGTCAGATTGG